TTTGAAAAACAGGTGGCAATTATTGCCCTTATTTAAGGAAGGGCAGCAAATGTTGTACATGCTGAAATTCTGAGGAAAATGGGTCGTTCCAGACATTGTTCAGAAGAACACTGTACCTTGATTAAAAAGTTGATTGGAGAGGGGGAAACATATAAAGAAGTGCAGAAAATGATAGGCTGCTGAGCTAAAATGATCGCAAATGCTTTAAAATGGCAACCAAAACCTGAAAGACGTGGAAGAAAGTGAAAAACTACCATTCGAATGGATAGAAGAATAGCCAAAATGGCAAGGACTCAGCCAACAATCAGCTCCAGGAAGATCAAAGAAGATCTAAAGTTACCTGTGAGTACTGTTACAATTAGAAGACGCCTATGTGAAGCCAAGCTATGTGCAAGAAGCCCCCGCAAAGTCCCACTGTTGAAAAAAAGACGTGCTGAAGAGGTTACAATTTGCCAAAGAGCACATTGACTGGCCTAAAGAGAAATGGCGCAACATTTTGTGGACTGATGAAAGTAAGATTGTTCTTTTTGGGTCTAGTGGCCGGAGACAGTTTGTCAGACGACCCCCAAACACTGAATTCAAGCCACAGTACACTGTGAAGACAGTGAAGCATGGTTGTGCAAGCATCATGATATGGGGATGTTTCTCATACTATGGTGTTGGGCCTATTTATCGCATACTAGGGATCATGGATCAGTTTGAATACATCAGAATACTTGAAGAGGTCAGGCTGCCTTATGCTGAAGAGGAAATGCCCTTGAAATGGGTGTTCCAACAAGACAACAACCCCAAACACACCAGTAAACATGCAACATCTTGGTTCCAGCCCAACAAGATTGATGTTATGGAGTGGCCAGCCCAATCCCTGGATCTTAATCCAATAGAAAACTTGTGGGGTGACATCAAAAATGCAGTTTCTGAGGCAAAACCAAGAAATAGAGAACTGTGGAATGTAGTCCAATCATCCTGGGCTGGAATACCTGTTCACAGGTGCCAGAAGTTGGTTGACTCCATGCAACACAGATGTACAGCAGTTCTCAGAAACAGTGCTTATACAACTAAATATTAATTAAGTGATTCAAAGGAAAGCAAAATCTTCAAACATTTTTCAGTTTATATAGTGAATGTTTGAGTTTGTAAAGAAGAATACAAACACTGCTATTTTTTCAAACAGTCTAATATTCACTTTTCTTCAATTTTTTTTTAGAGGAACAACACAAATTTGATATATTTTTTTCTTCATGTTTTGATTTGGAATAGAATGTGTAGTGTTCCCAATGCATTTGTGTGTATGGAAATAAAAGCTATTAGAAGGATTTTGAGCTTTATTCACTTTTTTCAACACACTGCTATTATTTTGAACACAACTGTATGCATGCTTCTACTTTTCAGAGGTCTGTTATTGTTCTATGTACAATCCTTGTTTTATTGATTGCATGTAATATTCTAATTTTCTGAGATTGTGGATTTGGGGTTTTCATAAGCTGTAAGTTATAATCACTTTTCAACACACTGCAATTTTGACAAATCATGGCTTGAACTATCTTGCTTTGCATGTAATGAGTCTATCTCATATATTAGTTTCACCTTTTAAGTTGTATTACTGAAATAAATGAACTTTTGCACAATATTCTAATTTTTCGAGTTTCACCTGTAAATTGCAGGCATTGGTTCTCTCTGGGGATTCTGAATAAATGCCCAAGAACCACTAAGAGACTATGGGATGAGATCACTTGTTGCAGCAGGACTGTGCTCTGTGTGTTCACACAGCAGTACTGCATCTACGCCCAAAGTGAAGCAAGGCTTTAACACTTACATACCTGGACAGCAGGTGCAGATGATGGTTTTACGTAGCCACAAGTAACCAGATCACTGTAGGCAGGTAGTGAAATTTAACCAGAGATTCAGGTGGTGCTTCAGGAACAGCAGCAGGCTGAGGCTTCCTCCAGGCTAAACTGAAGAAAAGAGAGCATGGAACACATGCATGCAGCACTCCACTCAATAGATAACATCAGCACTAGATCCCTCAGCCTTAACTCCTACTGTGGTAAACCAACACCGGGAAATTGAAAATGGTAGCCAAAGGACTGGATTCTGAATAAATGCCCAAGAACCACTAAGAGACTATGGGATGAGATCACTTGTTGCAGCAGGACTATGCTCTGTGTGTTCACACAGCAGTACTGCATCTCTACGCCCAAGTGAAGCAAGGCTTTAACACTCATACCTGGACAGCAGGTGCAGATGATGGTTTTACGTAGCCACAAGTAACCAGATCACTGTAGGCAGGTAGTGAAATTTAACCAGAGATTCAGGTGGTGCTTCAGGAACAGCAGCAGGCTGAGGCTTCCTCCAGGCTAAACTGAAGAAAAGAGAGCATGGAACACATGCATGCAGCACTCCACTCAATAGATAACATCAGCACTAGATCCCTCAGCCTTAACTCCTACTGTGGTAAACCAATGGCACCGGGAAATTGAAAATGGTAGCCAAAGGACTGGATCCTCAAGACAGGGTCACACCTGGGATGGTGCCACAGCTCTGGACTCATGAAAGCGCCCACAGATAACTATCACAGTATATGTAGGTCTGGAAAGCAGCAAATTCCAGTGCCAAAAGGTGAGATATGCCCAGAGAGTACAGAAGCAGCTTCCAAAGCTGATGCTGAGAAGCTGCTGATCTAGATAGCTGCTATATAGAGTCAACTTCAAGCATCTGTATAGTAGGGAGTCTTGATTGAAGTCACCAAGGAAAAAGGTTAAAAGGCCATCACAAAGATTAGTTAAACTTTTTCATTTTATTCAGGGGAGCTGGAGAAAATGCATCCAACCTCCTAGAACCCAGGAAGATACAGAGGGGTTTTATACAGGGACTAGCTTACAATGTTTTCTGCTTGCCAGTGTCCTTACCTTTTGTTGCCAGCATTATGACCGGACTGTAAAAAAAAAAATCCCTGTATCCTTCAATAAATGAAAAATAAATAACACCAGTGTAGCTCCTAAACAGAAAGGAATTTAAAAGGTTTTATTATGCTAAATGTGGACCCCTTTTGGAGACTTGTGCATATAATATCACAGAAGGCTGAAAGCAGAAGAGCAACCAGCACTCTGGTGTTCAGGGCAGCATTCAAGAGCAATTGGCAATCTCTCCTAGTGTTTGGGTGCCAGGGGGAGCAATGTAAAATACGGACAGGTGACTGAATGATGCACAAAACTCGTTGCACTTCCTAATGACTGAACACACATAAAATGAGCTGCATGTGTAGCTGATAGACAATATGGCGCAGATAGCTTAACATTTTGCAAGCTGTATTAGTTGTATTGGCCATACCTCAAAAAATGTTCTGACAAACTGTGGAATGTTTAAATGCAGCAGCACAGAGCCATTGGAAGTCCACAATGACCAGCACACCAAAAGTGAAAAAATCAAAACATTTATTCCTTTCTCCTTAAACATTGTTCCAGATGCATAAAGAAGCGATATACACATAGATTTGTAACGCGCTTTTTATACACCCAGCACTCTGAATATGCTGACCAATGTGAACTTTTAGTACTCGCAAGGGCAGTGTTTTTTGAACGTGGTGCGTGATACTTTAACAGATCATGGGTTTCCCGCACCGCGTTCTAGTGTGAACTGGGGCTTAAAAAAAAAAGAAAAAAAAAAAAAGAAAGGAAAATCAAGATGGTGGAGTAAGAAGCAAAGCAATATTTTCATGATTTCATGTGCAAAAATCCCACTGAAGAAAACAATTTGTCATTTGTCACCTTCTCCTTTTTCCAGTGACAGCATAAGGCTGTACAGTAATTTGCCTATATGTCAAATACTTAGGTTTCTGTTAAATTATGGCTACTTCTACATACAATGGTTATGAATGTTATTAGCAGCTTTTTCAAAAAAATATGCATTAATTATTTGTTCTGGGGTATGGTGCTCCTTTAATGCAACACCGCAATGTGAAAATTTATATGGGGGGCTCAATTCACAATGCTAAAAACACTAGGATAAAGATACTTCTTTTCCAAAAAAGTGACAGATTTTCAGCTATGACATTTAAATAATTTAACGCAGACTACTTGGTAATGTCAAGGATTTTAATTATAGCCTTTTAGTATGTGTTCATTAAAAAGGTCACAAGGAACATCCCTTTAACATGTGCTAGCAGCCAAGTTGTCACAAGTCAAAACTAGTTGTGGACTGTTGTCACACAATGACTAAAATGTACCTAACAGCACAGAAGCAGAATGCTGTACTATAGGCAGGTGTAGCTGGAATATAAATTGTTACCTGCGGAGTTATAAAATTTGGGCCACTAATTATCTCTCACGCTGCAGTTGAGCGGTTTACTATCCTAGTCACTATTGCCTAAACGTGAAAATAAAATATTCTTAGGTAAGATGTATAACATCATTTAATTAGGTGTTAATTTTAAATCATTGTCAACGATGGAGCAATAGGAACAGAACATTAAGTAGCATTAAAAGAATACAAATGATTGCTTTAGACCGTCTTAGTCAAATTGTGTACATAAAACCAATAAAATAGATATGATCTCTTTATATCTCTGTCCCATCTTACAATGTACTGTAACAGCGCCTCTGAATATGACAGAGGATAAAACAGTGTCCAGTGGCTACTCATTTAAGATACATATATATATTTTTTAATATTTCCCTGCTACAATTCCAGGATTCCAAACAAAGTGACTTATAGTGCAATCAAACTATAGGATAACGAATCTATTAACTCAGTAAACCCTCATCAGTGCTGGAAGGAAAATATGTATCCTCTCCTTCCACCGGGTGGGTTTTACCCATGTTAAAAAAATAATAATAATAATAAAAAACAAAGGCTCTGTGCTGATCTACTAATTATTAAAAAGGATTGTATGCTGGACTCCTGGTTGAGCTATTGGCGAGGGTTACCAGAGATGAATGCTGAGTGCTGAATGCCCCTTGGCATGAAGAGGTTTAGGAAAATATCCCAAGATGGGCTGATGTCTACTTAGAAAACCCACTAAGGCTGATATCGTCTCCTTGCAGTAAGGAGTCCCCAGGAACAAGGTTGGAAGAGTTTTCAGGGCTCTGAAGGGATAAGAAATCTGAGATATCTATAGATGATGGTGTCCAAGGTTGTAAGTCTGTTGGGTTCAATAAGTGTCCACTGCTGCCTTCACAAGGTGATGAGGGAGTAATTACAGTGTCAGGAGGGGGTGGGTCAGTCTTTGGTTTGGGGACAGGGTCAGACTCTGAAGAAGAACATCTTTTGGCCTTGGTGGTAGTCTCTTTTACAGAGTCTCTACAGGCACACTGACACTGGCAGGACTCCTCTTGTTTTATAATGATGACAGGCAGGCTCAAACCAATCTGCTGTACAGCATTGCCTGGAAACACAAACACAAATAATGTAATGAAAATGGTGGAAATGTCCATCGAGTAGCCTTATTTTTGTAACAATTGTTGTATAATCCCCCAAGCACACAAATACTATAGAACAAAATATTTTAAGATTTAATATAGCAAATCAATAACCAAACAATAACCTAAGGCTCAGCTCACACTACTGCAATGCAATTTTGCCAATATTTTCAGTGCAATTATGTAGTGCGACTCTGATGCAACTTGGCTTCATTTTTGCATATTCTATAGGGGAAAGTCGCACTGTAAATCTCACCAAAGTAACACAGGAACCTTTTCTAAAATTACACCGTGCTGAGTCTCACCGAATGAGAACGGGCACCACTGAATATAGTGTGATTTCCCTTGTCATGTGTCGCATCAGAAATCGCGTTAGTGTGAGCTAGACTGAAAAATACACACCTTTGGTAGTTTAAACACAATATAGTGGTAACTGCAACTGTGCAATCAAGAATCTAGAGTTACCTCTTAAGAACTTTACCTCATTAAGTAAAATGAAAGTAATTTTTTTTTGCCTTAAAATAAAAAAAAAGATGTTATACTTACAAAATCTGCAGGGGATTAAATTATTATTTTCCCCACTGTAATTTGGCTCACTTACACATAAATGAAGGGTCTATAATTTTTATCATAGGTGTACTTTAAATGATAGAGACAGAATATCAACCAAAAATCCAGAAAAAAAAACACATGATACAAATGTTATAAATTAGCTTGCAGTTTAATGAGTAAAATAAGTATTTGATCCCCTACCAACCAACAATAATTCTGTCTCCCACAGACTGGCTATGTGCTCATATGGTACACAGATTAGTCTTGTCAATTTAAGAAGGTGCTCCTAACGACAACTCATTATGTGTATAAAAGACACCTGTCCACAGAATCTCTTTCTTGGGCACCACCATGGGCAAGACAAGACAAAAGAGTAGTCATCAGGGACAAGGTTGTAGACCTGCACAAGGCTGGAATAGGCACACAATACCATCAGCAAGAATAAATATAAATGGTGAATGCTTGTGAGCTATTATGAAATGAGGTGTTCAATATGTGACTTTAGATGTCCTTATTTCTCACGTGAGGTTCGCTGGCACTTGCACTGACTCATATGCTAGTGTATATATAATATTTTCAAAATAGATAGTGCCGCGCTCCCATGTACCAATATGTATATCTTATACTTTCAAAGTGCTAATGAATAGCTTTCAAGATACTGCATGTATCAAACAATTATTACTAGTGACTCAAAACATCATTGTGAATATTAATCTTCATGCAAGTGACATTAATAACTGATAATCCTAAGGTGATAGTGCCTATTAAAGTACAGTGATATACAAATCAGAAATACTCCTCTATTCTACTGTGATCCTTATATTTATATTGTGCAAACACATATATATTATGTGCACGTGCTTATGATATATTCAATAAAAAAAAAAAAAAAAAAAAAAAAAAAAAAAAAAAAAAAAAAAAAGTCTTTCAAAATAAATGTGCAGGTGGATTCTTGGTTCCCTCTCGCCGAGTGCTTAATGGTCTCCCTATGTGCTCACCTCTATATTTGCCTGAATAAATCCAGGCAAATACACTTTTTATCCTTCCAGGATAGATGGGATGGAATGATGCTCTTGAATTATCTCAGAAGGTGGATGTGGATTTATATTTGTTCTCCTGTAGCTGCTCATGAGTGGGTATACTGACCATCTCTCTGAGGATCTCCCAATTCCCCTCCTTAGGAGGGGAATTGGGAGATCCTCAGAGAGATGGTCAGTATACCCACTCATGAGCAGCTACAGGAGAACAAATATAAATCCACATCCACCTTCTGAGATAATTCAAGAGCATCATTCCATCCCATCTATCCTGGAAGGATAAAAAGTGTATTTGCCTGGATTTATTCAGGCAAATATAGAGGTGAGCACATAGGGAGACCATTAAGCACTCGGCGAGAGGGAACCAAGAATCCACCTGCACATTTATTTTGAAAGACTTTTTTTTTTTTTTTTTTTTTTTTTTTTTTTTTTTATTGAATATATCATAAGCACGTGCACATAATATATATGTGTTTGCACAATATAAATATAAGGATCACAGTAGAATAGAGGAGTATTTCTGATTTGTATATCACTGTACTTTAATAGGCACTATCACCTTAGGATTATCAGTTATTAATGTCACTTGCATGAAGATTAATATTCACAATGATGTTTTGAGTCACTAGTAATAATTGTTTGATACATGCAGTATCTTGAAAGCTATTCATTAGCACTTTGAAAGTATAAGATATACATATTGGTACATGGGAGCGCGGCACTATCTATTTTGAAAACCATCAGCAAGAAGCTTGGAGACAACTGCTGGAGCGATTGTTCGCAAAAGGAAGAAATCCAAAATACCCATCAATTGCGATCGGTATGGAGCTCCATGCAAGATTTCGCCTCATGGGGTATTTTGCCCACTATGCCTGGTCAGTGCAATGATATTGCACAACATGGTCCCTTACCCCATCTTTGTTAATCACCCACTGGCACTGTCCACGCCTTCTTCCTCTGAGTGCCCCCTTAGCATGCCAGGTGCTAGGGGGGCACCTGTGCTTGTGGACTCCTGAGCCAGGCTGTGAGCATCCATAGACAACACTGGTTGTGACAGACTTAACCGAGACAGGGGCTTTTGGAGGGGACTAGGGGCTAGCCTTCTACCCACGGATTATGGCCCATGTGGGGAGACCGGAGATTTTGTCTCCTTCCGATCAGAGCATGGAAAAGAACTCAGTTCAGCCTCTGATCACATGGAGAGTGCAGATCAGTCTATGATGATGAATAATGTGATGAATGCTGAGAGAGAATTTGGATTAACTCTCTGAATAAAGACAATAAAGCGTCCTTTCTGGAGTGGATGGAAAGGTGTAATATTAATATTGTACAGGTTAAGGGTCAAAGGATATATGGGGCCTCCTGTGTACTGGGCTGAAGAAGCTCCTCCACTTGGGACATACATATTTATCAACAATCCTCCTCAAGAAATCTATAAAGATAAATTAATCCCACTTTTTCTTGTGATCACTTTTCTAGTGGACAGATTACACAAGTACCTGAAAGACAGCATGTGTAATGTACTTTGTGTTTTCAAGGGTGGCCTTACTGCCAGACTGTCTGCGGTGGACTGCCTGATTAATCAAAGCATTGTCTGGGTGCTTTGCTGTTGGTTAGCTTAATGTTATTTAGATCACTATTAGCTGTTAATTAGATTACTGTTTGATTAGATCACTGTTAGATGTTATTTGTTAGCTGTTGATTAGCTTACTGTTAAATTAGATCACTGTTAAATGTTCATTAGATGTACTGATGATATTACTGATATTGCATTGTTTAGGATAATATGATCAAGCTCTTACCCGATTCTGTGTGGTATAAATTCTGTGTGAAGTGACAGTAAAGAGAGTTCCAGTTGCACCTAAGCTAGTGTCATCTAGCTCTTGAGTGCAATGCCCAGCTATAATATCTTGTTCCTGTGCACCAGCAATGAGGAGGCAAATCCCTGATGAAAGCACCCAGGCGTGTTGCCAGGCGGTCCATCACCCTGGTATGCTACTCCCTCACAGACATTTAACTGACAACAGCAGGGGCCTATGGCTGATCTCAATATTTCCTAAGAGACCAGGAAGAAGGTGAGTGGTAAAAGAGCTGGATCATGAGAGGAGAGTCAGCTAAGTGTTTAGGAATGGCGGGGGCTGGATAAGTACTGGGGTATTTTTTACCTTAAAGTGTTAATAAATCCAGGACCCTGCATTCACTATAGCTGGTCTCCCACTGTACACAGAACATGGAAGTGCAATTATTTTAGTAAACAAACTTAAAAACTTTTCTGACTTTAGAAACACTAAGGGGAAGTGAGCAGGACAAAATGACACCTTACTCTACTCTAATCAATACAGTGGAACAGTCTATTTTTTGGTAGGACCATTAATTAATGCCTATTACAGTTTGTTTAAATGGCTGCTCCTGTACTATTAATGTGGAGGGATGCGGTCACATGGATAGTATGACAGAAAAATACTAACAGACTAGTCATGTTTTTTATTGGTGTCAGTGAAAGGAATGGTGCCTCATCATTGGTGTCAGTGGCAGGAATAATGAGCCTTCACTGGTGTCAGTGAGAGGAATAGTGCCCCATCCATGGTGTCAGTGGAAGAGTGCCCCATTGTTGGTGTCAATGGAAGGAATTGTACCTCCTTATTAGTGTCAGTGGAAGGAATGGTGCCCCATCATTGGTGTCAGTTGAAGGAATAGTGCCCCATACCTAGTGTCAGTGGAAGGAAGAGTGCCCCACTTTTGGTGTTAGTGGAAGGAATGGTGCCCCATCGCTGGTATCAGTGGAAGGAATGGTGCCTCATCATTCATGTCAGTGGTAGGAATAATGTCCTATCATTGGTGTCAATGAGAGAAAGAATGACCCCATCAGTGTCAGTAGGAAGAATAGTGCCCCATCCCTGGTATCAGTGGAAGGAAGAGTGCCATCATTGGTGTCAGTGGAAGAAATAGTTCCCCATCATTGGTGTCAGTAGAAGAAATAGTGCCCCATCATCAGTGTCAGTGGGAGGAATATGCCTTGTATCAGTCGGAGGAATACTGCCCCAAAAGCCAGATAAAACAGAGGGCCAGAGTTTGGATACCACTGCACTAGATGAACTAGTTACACTAATGTGGATTAAAATCATCCAAAGTTACAGACACAGTATATTCAGTTAGAAGTACATGCTCAGTTTAGTAAAAATAATATACCATATATTCTTAGCAACACCCAGTGAGATGCAAAACTAAAGTAATGCCAGAACATATAAAAGAAAAAAAGAAAAAAAACAAAGTACCTCCTGTGCCTGTCAGTGGGACCGTAGTAGTGAAGAATACCTTCTCCACCTTCGGAGCTTGCTGCTGTAAATGAAAATAAACAAACATTCATTTAAAAGCAAGACAGACAATCTATATGAAAGAGAATTCAGGTATAATTTTCAGACAGGTGTGACACACCTTGGTGATGTATTAAAGAGCAAGTTAATTTCCAATTTCACACAGCCTTCCAAAAAGCATGCCTACCAGCTCCTCTTCTTAGTTTGTTAGCATACAATAGCCAATTCAATCTGGTGGTGGTGTATTCTGCAAAACAGCTGGAAATACAGCCCACCCATAGAAACTAGTATGGTTGCAGTGCTCACACTAAAGCTGGGTACAAACTATAAAGTTTTCTTTTGTTCAACCCATTGGGCTGAACAAAAAAACAAAACAAAAACAAAACTAGCAGATCACTGTACTAACACAAGTGATGTTAGTGCACTGATCTTCCCCGCTGAGCCTCTGTGTTCTGACTGCCCCCCCGTCAGGACACACTGATCAGCGCTCACAGCCACTGGCTACCAGCACTGATTGGATGCGAGTTTGGATGCTGGTTTTCCAGAATGCCTGTTCGTCAGAAGCCAGTCATAAGACTTGGCTTCTGTAGAACAGTCAGCTGTACACAGAGGCCTAATCAAAAATAATAGGTCCAGCTGGTCAGTTCAGCCACCAACATCCCTTTATATATATGAACAACCAATTACAAAGAATACAGAAAAGTAAGTATGGGATTTTAACGGTACTGAAACGTTTTCTCAGAATGAAAAACAATAATCCTTTATAGTAAACCCATCAATTTTATTACAAAATGGGTTAAAATAGAATGGGGTGAAGCATTCTCCCAGAGTTAAACAAAAACTCTGGGGGAATGCTTCACCCCACTCTATTGTAACCCATTTTTTAACAAACTTGATGGTTTTACTATAAAGTATTATTGTTTTTCATTCTGAGAGGTTTCAGTACCATTAAAATCCCTTACTTTTCTGTATTCCTTGTAATTGGTTTTTCCTGTACACAGAGACCTAAAGTTGAATGGTTCCTGCCAAACCAACCAATTCGGCTGATTTTCGGATCGTGTGTACCCAGTTTAAGAAGAGGTGACTATTTAACAGAAAGCCTGTGAGTCAGCAGGAAGGGATAGTGAAGAAGTCTGGACCAGGGAGAAAGGTAATTATTTAATTGAGCAGGCTGCAGCCAGGGGCTGGGGATTTATTAAAAGGACAAGATCTTGTAAAAAAGAATCCAGTTTTGGTTCCTTGCTAGTAAAAAAATAAAAGCACCATTTCAAGTATCTGATCAGACTACAAGAAGTTTAATTGCAGAGCATTCAAGCAATGCAATCACCACGCATTACATAAATCATTCGGAAGTACAAACCTTCAGTTGCACAAAAACAAGCCCTGAAAATGTGCCAGCTACAGGCTTTTCTTTTTTCTCACCTAGACTAACAGAGCATAGCCTGGATGACACCACTCCAACCCCACCCAGTACAGAGTAATAGGTTTATAACTCCACCTTACCATTACTATGAATCATGCCCCATCCCATAAGATGATGTACTTGCAATCAGCCAACTATAATCTCACCCATAATTGTTTTGCAATACACTTTATTTTAATGATAGTATATATTCTAAATGATTTAACTGAATTAAGTTTGCAATATAATACCACCCAATCAAAAAAGAACAGAAAATGTTACAACTTGTCAAACTGCCACCTTTTTCTATGGACCCCAAAAGACAGAAGAGCTCAAGATATGCCACCACTTAATTTTTAATTTATCAAAGATCTGATTAGAACAGAAAAACATTATCAAATGACATGGCAGTCCTGATACTGCTGCTGAGGTTGCTGTGATATCCAAGGAACTATGATGGCTATGGAAAGGGTAGTGAGATATATGGCGTACAAGGAGGGAGCCGCAATGCAAGTAAATTAAAAAATAATTTATGGAAAGAAATAACACTGCAAGTAAACAATTCAAAATTCATGACGTGCATTTATCTGCAATCTTTTAAGTTAGTGACAGGGTCTCTTTAAACTACAATAAAGAATGCTCTATGATACTTACAGACTGATCCGAATTTGGTGCGGTCCCCATTTAAAAGCCACTGCAGATTTTGCTCATTCATAACTAAACTAGGTTGCAGCAAAGCAGTACTAGGAGTCTGTGTTATGGTTATTGCAGGGTTGCTGCTCAACACAGTGTTGGCATTGGAAACTGCAGCCTGCACCAGTGTTGGTAGAACAGCATCTGAAGAGTTTCCTACGGGCAAAGGAGGGACCAGCAACCACAGTCAAGCTTTCCACTAAAGATTGTGAGGTCTGTTGAGTTACAAAGTTGTCCTGGGTGGAGATTTGGCCCCCATTATGGATAGGCACTTTTAGGGGCTGGGAAACTGTACAAGACACAGAGCTTGTTGACGGGGTCCCACATCCAATGCTCCCGTGTGGCAAAGGCATGGAAGTTGTGCCAGCAGTAGTAGGTAAAGGATCCTCTGTCACAGCTGGAGGATTTACAAGAGGGGTAACCAGAGATGGTGGAGGTTCAGGAGCACTGCTGTTTCTCTGCTGGGTCTAAAGCCTGCGGATCTGAAGTCCAGGTTTTTAACAGCACTTCTAAAAAAAAGAGAGGTACATAAAATAGTATAATGTAATACTAGTATCAATATTGTTATTATACTGTAACAAAAACAACAATGATAATTATGCTTAAAGTGGTTGTAAAGGCTGAAGGTATTTTACCTTCATGCATTCTATGCATGAAGTTAAAAAACCTGGTCTGTGCAGCATTTCCCCCCCCCCCCCCCCCACAATACTCAACTAAGCCCCCTCTTGATCCAGCCATGTGTAGTCTCAGCTATCCAAGGACTTCTCCTTCTCATTGGCTGAGACAGCGGCAGGAGCCATTGGCTTCAACTACTGTCAATCACAGCCAGTGAGCCAATGAAAAGAGAGAGGGAGTGGGGTCATGCTTCGATGCAGGTGCTCGACCATGTAAACCCATTCGATGAAGCTCTCTACGCACTGTTGTTGTGCTAATCTGAAAGCCACAGAAAGTTTGGAGGTAGCTTTAGCTATTGACTCTGCAGACAGTTGGCGAATGTGCTGACCCCTCTCTGTCCTTTTACGTGACCTACCACTTCATGGCTGAGTTGCTGATGTTCCCAGTTGCTTCCACTTTGTTATAATACCACTAACAGTTGACCGTGGAATATTTAGTAGCAAGGAATTTTCAAACGATTACAAGACAATCAGTCCATGTATATGGTGCACTTCACCTGATCAATTTTTGCTGCGGTAAGAAAATGACTCCTATGAGGACTACAATGGGACAGTATACAGATACAGAGTCAGCATTTCCTCACATTCCATATTTGTACGGATGTTGTCACAAGCAAAACTCACATCACATCAGGTGGCCTGACCACCAAATAAATGGAAAAATTTGCACAAAGATTTTACTTCTCCAGCATACCACCCAAAACGCAGGGGAAATAGCAGAAACCAAGATATTTGAGGACCTGGTATTGCATTTACAAAGTTCTCAGTTTCATGGAGGCCAGTAGAGGCAGAACATAAAATAAAAATAATAAATTAAGAAGTTCCAGCATTACACAATGAGGTCTTGAGAACATACAAAATGAGCTTTACAGACACAAAAATGTTACAAAAACGTTACAGATCCATAACTTAAAGTGTATCTCTAGAAAAAAATTTAATTTTTGATTTACCAGTAAAATCTGTTTCCTAGAATACAGTACAGGACGCAGACTCCTTTAAATCTCCCTATATAATGCTTTGCAGTCCCAGCAATCCTTAATTTTGTAGCAAGCAGTAGAGATCATAAATACAGAGAAGGCCCTGTACTGTATTTCAGGAAATGGATTTTACTGGTAATCAATTATCCTATTTTCCTGATTGTACAGTACAGAACAACTGAGGGGTGGGCAATACAAAAAATTAACATGCCCACATAACAAACCAGTCAAGAAGAGCTCGACAGACAGAGCAAACTTCAGCAGCTTACACTCAAAACCAGCATCAGAGAGGCTTGACCATCCACCTGAAAGAACAACAGAGACCCATGAGCCCATGACACACTGGGGATTTGGAAGAATGTGTTTTAAAAAGGGAAAGCGGAGCTCTATCATTCATACGACTTTAAAAACTTGATGAAACCACCTAGCATTGGTGAAGCTAGGAGCAGGGAAGCCCTCGTGGGAACCCTTAGGAAACACAGAGTAAATCAAATTTATTAAAAACAGCAGTAGCTGAGAGGTAACCTCTCATTGCGAGCACTACGTCAAGACAGTGGAGAGAAATTTTCTTTAGGATCTTTCAGAGCAGGACAAAATGATTAAGGTGTAAAGCAGAGACTACATTTGGAAGGAAGTCTGGGCCTCAAGACAACCTTGTCCCTGTGCAAAACTAAAAATCCAAAAGACCATGTCCCTCAAGACCTTAGCTTCAACATTTAAAGACAGTGACTGAGAAGTAGGATGAAACACTGGCCCTTAGAACAGGAGGATTCAGAAGAGCACATGCAGCACCTACCAGGAACTTGCGTATGTCAGAATACTACATTCTCTTGTACCAATACAGTGCAATAAGGATGACTGGGATCCCTTTCTACTTGATTCTGTGAAGTAAGCAAGGGAGAATCTGAAGAGTTGGAAAACATAAATAAGTTTGAACTGATCCCACTGTATCACCAGGGTGTCCATTGTGAAGGACCGAGGGTCTCTGGACCTGGCAACAAACCCGTCTAATTTGTTGATGATTCTAGATGCCAGGAGATCCACATCTGGGTATTCCCCATCTGTGGCAAACTGCTTGAAAGACCTCCAGGTGACTTCTGGAGAGCTCATTCCCCCACGTCTGAATTATTCCACATCTGTAAAGATCAAGCCCTGCTTTCCTTCGAGTGGTGCGTATTCTGGTGCCTCCCAATGACTGATGTAAGCCACAGCCATGTCACTGTCTGACTGTATTCTTTCGGGTGTCCTCACAACACAGGTGTCCATCAACCAACCAGACAAGCAAGGCATCCTGCGTTCCAGAATGCTGATTGGAAGGTGAGCTTCCTCTGACGACCAAGCACCCCTTGTACCTAGGAGTTCAGGACTCCACCCCAACTTGACAGGCTGCTATCCACCATGAGTGCTGTCTGCAACTGTGGAGGAAAAGGTTTCTCCAACTCCAGCACTGAATTGGAAATCCACCCAAGTCAGGGAGAGTGTGGCTTGGGGTTCAGTTGCATCAGGCAGTTTAGGACTGAGCCTGTCTGTCCTACAAGAGTAGAATGTTGAGTTGCAACGATTTGGAGAGAAACTAGGCATATGACTTCCTCAAAGGAGGCTCCATTAGACCCAAGACCCTCATATGCATGTACAAACCAAGGGCTTCTTCTGGGCCCTGGCATGAGACAGAATTGGACAGAAGTTTATTCTGATGCAGAAAGATTCTTGACAAGTTTTTGACCAGTGCCAGACCCAGGTAATCCAACCCCATGAAATTAATCTAGCGATGACTTCTGTAGGTTAAGGATCCAACTGAAGCTCTGCAGACCTGTACTGTTGGTTGGATGTTGGCTTATAAGAAAAGGAAAGGACTGAGCCTTTACCAGGACATTGTTCATGTACCTCACAATGTGGAATCCCTTGAGAATGGAGCAGAGTAAAAAAATAGGCAAGCACCTTGGTGAAAACCTAGGGAGCCATGGACAGGCCAAGGGTGAGGTGAAAAACTAGTAATTCTGGTTGCCCACCAAAAAATGCAGATAGCATTGATGAGACAAAAATATGGGAAAGTGCATATAAGCATCCTGAATGTCTCTTGATATCAGAAAATCCTCCAGAAAGATAGAGATTGTGTCTCACCTGGCATTTTCCATGGGGAACATTTACACTCCTAAGTTTAATGTTCTAAGATCCAGCATGTGCCAAACTCATCTGTTCAATTTGGTAACCGTAAAGAGTGTTGAGCAGAAACCTTGAAAGCATGCTCCTGGGGGTACAGAGGTAAAGACCCCTTCCCTCAAAAGTTGTTGAACAGCAGAAAACAGATCTACCCAACATGACTGGGAAGATGACAAGTTGGAGAACATGAAGAGGAAGGAGATAGCATGCTAAACTCCAGGTTGTAGCCCCTGGAAACAACATTCTGGACCCAGGCCACTGAGATGCTCTGGAACCTGAAGGCCATCAGACATGCCTCTGCTTTGAAAACGGAGAGTGTGCCCATCACTCTGAACAGGCTTTGGCTTGATAGGTCATCTCTTCTTATAAATGTATGTTCCTGTCCCGAATTTACCACTGAAGGACAGAGAGATGAAAGAAACCTTTCCTACTCTGAGAAAGCAGGGAATTTTTCTTCTTGGGGAGTACCCTTACCACATCATTATCTCCTTGATGTATTTATCCAATAAGGGATTAAACAGGAGTTTGCCTTTGAAGTGTAAAAAGGTAAAAGGTGTTTCTAGCAGGGGAGTTTAACTCCCCAGCATTTAAGCCTGATAATCCTGCGCATGTGTACTGAGAGGATGTTCATCATAGAAATTTGGGGAAAAGTGTGCCTGGGGAAGTCATTTACGCAGTAAGGTAAGGCATAAAGCAAAAGGTAAAAGTTTCAGTTGACCATGGCCAAAGGGATCTGTGAGGATGGAGCTGAAATTACAGTCCAGACAGCAATGGTCTTACAATCGGCTACAGACACAATTGCCAGGTGCATGGCAGAACCCACCATGGCAAGATAGTCCTAAGGAGGGCTTCTTACCTCTTATGTACAAGATCTTTACACACTGGATTATCCCATCTACAAGGGCCATGAAGCTCTTGTTAAGGTTTGAAATGACCAAATCTACCACAAGAATTTTCCACTTTTGGAGGAAACTGGGATATTGTTAAGCAAAACCTTTAGTCCAGTATACCTATAGGACAAGCTCAACAGGCACATGAACCAGTTTTGAAGAGATTTCTGTAGTACGTGTACCATCCTGATCAAATGCCTCAAAAGGAAAGGATTCTGTCTCAGCAGATACTTCCTTCTCTGCTACCGAGTCTGGTTTAAGGGCAAAGTCAAAGAGTGAAGTCAGAGGGGAGGTAGAAGGGGTATAGCCGTAACCCCTGTAATCGAATGCCTCAAAAAGGGCAGAAATTTTGCCCATGAACTTTAACATTGTGAAAGAAAATTCCTCTCTAGACAGGAAGGATGAGACAGGCGTGGATGAAGGACCAGTGGAAGGCAAAAAGTCAGAATAGGGGCAACCATCAGAGGAGAGGACATTAGGGACCTGTATCACAACCCCCAATGCAGCTAAACGCTCAGTCTGAGCCCATCTGAACCTCTGTGTTTCCACTTATGGTGGAATATGTGTGAATAAGTTATCCCACTGGGTTGTTCACAGCCTCTGAAGCAGTGCTGTGGGATAGGGGGGCTTATGCCTCATTATATTTCAAGAAAAGTGAGAGTAAACAGCCACAATGTGCCAGTATGATCCATAACCCAGAGATGTTGCTTGGATGGCATCCTGAATGCAGAGGTAGAGAAAGACTGCCAAAACCAGCTGCTGACAAGCCCTGCACTTGCAGTCACATTGTAAGAATGAACATTAAAGGTCTAGTTAATTCCTAGTCTATTCACATTGTTGTCAATCAAGTCTGGATGAAGGGGGTGTTCTTGAACACCTGAAACACATTGGCAACTATTTGGATATTCCCCCTGACTTATCAGAATAAAGTTGTATCTGGACCTCTTAGCAGTGGTGTGGCACTTCAATTTCCATTTTGTTATATTACACTACAAGCCAAGGAGACCATGTAGATCTTCTGAGGTGTAGAAGCTGCCTGCTCAGGAACCAGATCTATTACATCAATAAAAATACTTAAAGACAGCAACACCATTGAGAAAATCCTATGGATCAAGTGCTTTTTTCCCCACTTTTCTCTACTATGCAGAAAGGAAGAGGCAGGGCGCAAAGGTAGAGATGACCCCTTCAACATGAGGTGGTGTATATGTAGCATGTGCTTCAACCACACAGGTGCAGTAGCACCCAGTTCACTCATGCGCAGTATATCACCACAAGCAAGAAGCAACACCTGGTGAAGCAGCAACACCACAGCCACCCTCCAGAAGGATACCCAAATGACACCAAAGCGTCATTCACACCAACCATCATGGACTATAAAAGCTATGCCTCTGAAAGGGTGAAAGGCAGTAATTCTCACCCACAAAAAGGGAAAAAAACCCAAAACAATTAAAAAAAACAAAACACTTAACCAGCACTGTGGGAGTGAATGTTTAAAGGGGTTCTGTCCTGTGTACTCACCACATAGCGACCTTCCATTTTGCCAGTGTCAAATCACCTCAAGGTAGCTGCAAATAACTCAGTTGTAAAAAAGCCTGTGTTCTGTACTATACAATCAGGAAACATACAGTAAATCTGCAATACGGAAACATTTGATCCCTTTTTTTATCTCTGAAAATCATTACAGGTTTTTCAAAATGTGTGTTTATCCTGACAGTAATTTAGTGATCTTCCTGTAGTGGGCTGACATTGTTACTGCATTGCAGTTTCAAACAGTAATGTCAGCACTGGTTGTGGTTGAGGTCTCCCTGATGGACTACATAACACCTCCCCCCTTACGTTACAGGGATGAGAAGAATTCAGGCAGGGTGGATTTCAGTACAGAAGATGCAGCGTTGTCAGCTCTCTACAAAAAATTAAGAGCGCATAGGATTTCTAGCAAAATCAACAGGTACTTTTCTGTACTTGCAGAAGTTTTAAGGCGTCAAAACAAGAAAAAATGCTCATGTATCGCAAAAATATGCCGCATATACTGTATATATCAGTAGAAAACAAGGAAATAATGCATTTATATCAGTGGTAGTAGGTACAGATGAGGGGGAAGAGTTTGGTGGATATGGTAAAAAGTGACTGACACACACCTTTATATAATTGTATAATTCCATCACATAACATGTAAATTTGATATACCTGACTGCTGACCAATATCATTGTCTTCTGTATTTTCAGGACTCTGGAACATTGATTCAAATATATTCTGATGTAACAAAGTGCCCAGAACTTGCCCAGGACTCTAAAGCAAGAAAAAAGTAGATTAAATGTGGATTTGTCTTTACAATTCTCCTTTCAATTACTTTTCAATGACTTTCTTTTCATGAATACAAAATTGTGATTCCCTAGTCCTCGGCTGTGGCAGCCTAGATCACATGGTCTGTAGGTACCAAACAGTAATCTAGAGATTCTGTTTTTTTGATGTCCATAGGCAACACCATACAGATGAGAAAACCGTCCAATAAGCACTGTTTTACCCTGATCAGCCAGTTGTGGAAATGTCTACAGATCACAACCCCCACATCTCTCCATGAGCTTAAACAAAACAATGGCATCATACAACCTTTCTACTGGAAAGTTACACTTTAACTATTTCAGTGGTAGGTATCTGTAATAGCCGTTTAGTGAAATTATTTTTGTATTGTGCCCTTAAGAGGGTTAAAAAAACCCCATATCTAAAATGTTTCCATCTTTCAGGTTTTAACATATCCTGTAAATCATTCAGTTTTTAACCACTTGCCCGCCAGAGGATTTACCCCCCTTCCTGACCAGGCCATTTTTTGCGATATGGCGCTGCGTTAACTGACAACTGCGCAGTCATGCGATGTTGTTCATAAAATTAAAATCATGTTCTTTTTTTCCCACAAATTGAGCTTTCTTTTGGTGGCATTTGATCACCTGTGCGCTTTTTATTGTTTGCGCTATAAACGAAAAAAAAAAATGTAAATTTTGGAAAAAAAAAATTATATATTTTTGACTTTTTGCTATTAAACAACATGTCCAATAACAATATATATATATATATATATATATATATATATATATATCAAATTTTGACATAAATTTATGACAAAATATATTCTGCTACATGTCTTTGCTAAAAAAAAATACCAATACATATAAATTTGTTTACATGAAAGTTATAGCGTCTACAAATGGTGGTATATACAGTTAGGTCCATATATATATATATATATATATATATATATATATATATATATATGGACAAACCTGAGAGTGTGCACTTTCAGCCCATTTCCATTATATAACTATAGCTTGAATATGTTTTGGTAAATACCTGAAAAAAACTAAAATTGTGCCTGTATCCAAATATACATGGACCTAATTGTATAGGGCAATCAGCGACTTATTGCGGGACCGTGGCGGGCATTCTGACTCTGGAGGGGGACCTAACTGCCACTGACATCCCCAGTGACACGAATGCAGTGATCAGTGCTAATAAAAAGCACTGACACTGTACTAATGACACTGGGCAGGAAGGGGTTAACATCTGGGGCGATAAAAGCGTTAACTGTGAAATGTGTGTGTTTTCATTGGGAAACAAGCTTCTTTATATTGCTCTGCTGTGCAGAGCAATACAAAGCAGCCTGTTCGTGCCGACGGGACAGATCTGTATTGTTTACATACAGATCTCTCCCCTGTCAGCTCCACCGACGATCACCGAGTCCCGGCCAAGAATCGGCGGCTGGGACCCAGTGACTGATATGCCGAGGAGCCAATTGCAACGTAGATAGGGAGCGCACATGAGCCCCTTACGCAGATATACAAAATCACGCACATATACATGATTTTGCACATCCCTGCCACCCTGTAGCAGTACGTTTGCTATAGGGCGGTCGGGAAGCGGTTAAGGAAGATCTGATCAAAAGCTTAATGCTGCTCTCTGGGCAGCCAGATGTAAACATAGCGGCACACATTATCCAATTACTGGCGAGTCCATTCAGGTCCAAGAAAAAAAAAAAAAAAAAATGGAAAAAGTCTACATCGGTTTCCATTTTTCTGGACCTAAACATGATGGATCTGAGGTTGTCTGATGTAAACAGACACAAATCTGTTTTTATCCGGCCCCCCATGGGTCCAGAAAGCTCTGATTTGTGACTGCAGACAAAAAACTGACAGGCATGGATGTCACAAAAGGGTCGTCTGTCCCATTCTGCTCCAATCAGCAGGTGATCTGTTCACAAATCCCCTGCTGATCAGACCACATGACACCCATTTCACAGGGGCCAAGCAGTTTACAGATTAGATTTTAAATTACCACTTGCCCTCCAGAGGATTTACCCCCCTTCCTGACCAGGCCATTTTTTGCATTATCGTGCTGTGTTACGTTAAATGACAATTGCGCGGTCAAGCAACGCTGCACCCAAATGAAATTTACATCCTTTTTTTTCCATGAATAGAACTTTCTTTGGTATTTGATCACCTGTGCGTTTTTTATTTTTTGTGCTATAAAAAAAAAAAAAAAAAAAAAGAAAAAAAGACCGACAATTTTGAGAAAAAAAAAAATCAATATTTTGGACTTTTTGCTATTAAACATGTCCAGTAGCAAAAATCTTAAAAATCAAATTTCGTCATAAATTTAGGCCAGAACGTATTCTGCTACATGTCAATATGTGTAAATTAATTGATATACGTGAAAGTTCTAGTGTTTACAAATGGCGGTATATATACTATGGGATTTTTTTATTTATTTTTTACTAGTAATGGCAGTGTTTAGTGACTTATAGCGGGGGACTGCGGCGGACATTCTGACACTGGTGGGAACTGACTTGGTGTCACCGACGTCCCCTGTGACACCAATACAGTGATCAATGCTAATAAAAAGCACTGTACTAAGGGAACTGGGCAGGAAGGGTTTAACATCTGGGGCGATCAAATGGTTAACTGTGTGCTGTTTCACATTATGTGCTGTGTGTGTGTGCTTCCACTGTAAGCACACTGCTTTGTATGGCTCTGCTATGCCATACAAAGCAATGTGCAGGAGCTGACAGGGGAGAGACCTGTATTTCTTACATACAGTTCTCTCCCCCCCGTCGGTAATGTGGGGCGATCAAAGGGTTAACTGTGTGTTGTTTTACTGTGGGCTGTGTGTGTGCTTTCAGCTGCAAAGCAGCAGAACCATGCAAAGCAGTGTGCAGGAGCAGACAGGGGAGAGAACTGTATTGTTTACTTACAGTTCTCTCCCTCCGTCGGTAATGCTTCACAATTACCTGGTGCCGGCGAGTAATCACCAACCAAGCCTCTGTGTTTGATAGCCGAGGCTGCGAATAGCAGCGCGGATAGGGAGCACACGCCCCCTACCCAGAAATGCAAAATCACACACACACATACATATATATATATATATATATATATATATACACACACACACACACATCACACACACACACATACATATACACACACGTGATTTTGTGCACCCCTGCCACCCTGTAGCAGTGTATCTGCTATAGGGCAGGGGGAATGCGGTTTAAAAGAAAGAAAAAAAACCCACAGTAAACTCATTTAAATTTTACTGTGGCTACGACATGGACTGTAAGAGACTGCAATTTCAGTTGAGACCGTTTTCAGTGTGCTGCTGGGGCAATGATTAATATGAAAGCTTGCACTTCTCTGCTTTGCATGGAGAACACTTACAAAATGCTACATACAGCATGAGATTTACTCACAGATACTTACTGCATTAGCATTTTCTCGCAGTTCAGATTCAGTTGATAAAGTGCTTAAATCACTCAGACAGAGCCAATCCTTTGTATCCTGGAAAATAACACATAATAGTCTGTGAATGATCAAGACCTTTTCTGTACCTGGTTTATTGTCCCATTTCAGCACAGGGCATTTTAGGTATAACAATGATTATCTTTCACTCTAGTACTCTCTGCTTTTTTTTCCCCAAAAGGAAAACAAGTGATTAACACAAAGTTCTTTTAGCTATAAAACAGGTGATTTCTTCACCTGATGAATAAAAGGGTTTCCTACTGATATTTTCTCTTTTTAAATGTAAGCAGGCTTCCAACAAAGCATTTAAAACTGCTCAGCATCCTCAACATCAGATGGCTTCAGCTTTGTAAACATGAAAGGTCCAACAAGCTCAGAGATGACATACACTGGGCCTACTGACTCTCTATACTGGCCCACAATAGTACTGAATTTGTGTTAAAGCTGAACTCTGGGGAAAACAAATATCCTTTCTTGCAGTGGTGGTGCCCCTACACTGCAAAGGTCAAATGCTCATTTAAATCTAGGGTACTGGAAAAAGCAGTTTTAATGACCCAATCCTCCACTCCTTCAGGCTTCCTCTTCGCCACTAGACCAATCTCCCCAGCCTCTTCTTCTCAATGCCCTGACAGTTGCAGCGCAGGGCTCATCACTATGCACTGCATGTGAGGACACAGAGGGAAAGTGAACTGCTGGAGTGTAGGGGAAAAAGAGGAGAGTGACAGCTGTCAGAGAAGTGCTTTTTCAGGTACCCTAGACCTAAATGACCATTTAACCCTTGCAGTGTGTGGGCAGTGCCTCTGCAAAGCAGGATTTTTTTCTATCCCAACAGATAGACTTTACCAGACAGAAAGGAATAATGAATAAAATATTTTTGGCTGTGGTTAACTATTACACATGCATTGTCTGTCTGCATTTAAAAGGACAAGTTCACCTATTAACAAAAAGTAATAAATGTACATTTTTTTTTTGCAGGTAAAAAAGTGCATTTATTTTTTTTGTTTGTGAAGCAACTAAAGCATTGCACCAGCGATCAGCAGATCGCTGGTACCATGCAGGTCTCCCCCTGACCTGTCAGTATATCTTCTTGCCACGGTGCTATGAAGTGCCATGGTAGTTCATTAAAAACTACAAGCCGACAGCTGCAAAGGCTGCCAGGACTTGTAGTTTTCCCATTCACAGATTGCTGTGACTGTATGAGGCAGCCTAGTGGGTGGGACCCCGCACTGCCACAGTTTTTTAAAATTGTGACAGCTAGCGGGGAGGAGAAGATCCCCTGCTAGCTGTCATAGTGGGGATTGGAGGGGTGCGGAGGCCGGTCACATGGTAACATGTTACACCCTGAATATGGGTGTAACATGTTACGAAAGGTGAACCTATCCTTTAATTTTTGTTCCTACCTCACTCCGTAGCTAGGGGATGCTCTATATAGTTAGTCCCACCCTTCGTTTTCATGCTTTAGCTTCTATTCACCACATGTATTGTATTCTGCTGTAGCTAGATACACGGTGATTTTTTTACCTAATGTTCATCTGTTATGACAGTTGTTTTGGAATAAAGTTTTCTATGATCTGCAAGATGTTGTTTGGATCAAGTCACTGTCTGTCAAGCTACTGAGACTAAGTTAAGCTATTTAACCTCAGTGGGGTCAGTTATAGAGTTCACACTTTCAGTGTTTTAGATTACAGAAGCAGAAAAGTAAACAGTAGCACTGTTATCTCTGCATTCCTTTAATCACAGCTTATTAATACGGATTGACCATATAATTACTACAGGGGAATGTACAGACAGGTGTTGTATTTGTGATAAAGCGGTATGAAGGACCAAGATGCATCCATTGCCCCCTATGGATTACTGTGGGGCATAACTACCTCACTGACCTTAACATTTCACCCTGAAATCAGTTACCTGTAACTGTAGTGATTCCGATATATAAATTAACTGAATTTAATTTCAATCATCACTGAATTTACATTGAATTTAAACGTTAAGAGCCTTAGTGAGCGAAGCCTCTTCAAAGTGTAATATAAAAAAAAAAACTAACACAAAAAAACAAACTAAAATTTAGTCCATGTTTTCTCAAGTTTTATCCCTTTAAACATGCTGCAAGCACAGAAAACTAAATATTGATATGCCAAAAAAATAGTGTGCTCCTACCTTCTTTGACATAACACAGCTCTGAATTCCTAAACACATGGTGTCAGCCCTGCCTACTTCATTTATGAAGGATATCAAAGAACACAGACATCCCCTCAACTCTTCCACCCTCCTTCATTCCCATAATGCCTCTTGCTGGCATCATCGTGCACCGGAAGTGACCTGAAAGTTACTGCTGTATGCCAGCTTTTTTTATGCACAGTACTGTTTTAGCATATGTGAATGCAATATCCTGATAAAGGTACCGAATTATATGTCTATGCTGCTGAGGACCGAAAGTGACTGCCTGGGGAACCCTGCTAGCTGATGGTCCTGTGGAACAGATGGAGGGGCGCCATTGATGTCTAATCATACCGGCCATGCTATTTATGATTACTCTAATTAGGGGGTCATTGGTATCTGGTAAGTCTGCATCTTACCACTATTTGGGTGACGGTTGGACATACTTGGCACCACTTTCAAGGGGAAAGGAAATATTTTTCTGAACAGTTAAAAGGGACCTATTTACGTTTAGATTTTGGGACTATCACATGCGTATTTAATGATTTTTATGAAATATTTGGACACTTTTGAATATTTCTATTTACTGACAGTGTTATGAAATTATTTATGTTCAAATTAGGATTCACATTTTTATTGTTAGTACTTATTGAATTTTTTTTTTCAGCCCAATATCAAACATTTTATTGATCATATTTGTTACGGTAACACAGTATATTTTTTACTATCAGGACCAGCTCACACTACAAAAGCAAACTCCGGATCCGCTTACAGCTCACACCACACGCAGTTCCGGTACAGTTTGTCATGTTCCAGTATGGTTCTGTGCAGAAAAAAAATGCAGCATGCTCTACTTTTTTTCCTACACCAGAAACTGACTGGAACTGACTGCACTGGTGTGAACTATGGCAATTGAAATACATGGAAAACACTGTGCACACATTTTTGATGCAGAAAAAAGCGTACTGGACTGCATCTAGTGTGAGCGAGCCCTGAATGATCGGCCCTAGACACAGACAATCTGCGTCTAGCCCAGATCATTCGCAAGTAATTGCTGCTTGAGTAATTACATGCAAGTGGCCACCATAAACATGGCCTTAATAAACAGATGTAACAAAGGGAATTCAACTGAATATTCAGTGGGGCAAATTCACTGTTCAAGTTTACATACACTTTAGTGACAGAAAGTGTATAATGAACTTCAGCTAAACATTTTTGATGGTTTACACATTACACTCCACCAGCATTTATGTCATAAGATTCCTCCCAGTCTTCTACTGAAAAATATGCTCTGGCATAGAACAGAGGCATAGCTGTTACTAAACCCAATACAGTAAAATCCGTCTGTATATGCAGTATAGCATGCTTGTTATATTCACTTTGGAACCTAAAGGGTCAATCACCTTCATTGTGTATAAAGGCTGTTTGATCCTGACTTCTCTGATCCTCCCCTTTTTCCAGTGTCCCCCTCTTATCTCCTGATATGACATATCATGTGGAGTCACTCTGCACATGCTCAGTTTGGTGTGTATTGCTCAAGAGGTTTTTTTTTTTTCTTTTCTTGGAAGAGTGCATGTGATCAGCACAGGACCAATCAGCACCAGACAGAGGTCAGGGATTCTGTATCCTCCTAGAGCAGAATGAAAATGCCTCCTACAAGTTTTAACATGTGCTCTGCTGGCACTGATAGAAGTCACAAGACTGCTCTAACTGCTGAAGAGAAAAGGTATTTAGCAGTTTATATTTACTAAAATAATTGCATTTCCATTTTCTGTGTACTGTGGGAGACCAGATATAGTAAATGCAGAGTCCTGGGTTTAGTATCACTTTAAAGGATAAGTTCACCTTTGGGATTATGTTACATGTTCCACTGATTTTTAGGGTGGGACAGGTAACATATTTGCAATGCTGCAGCCGCTACCCGCTGCCCCCCCCCCCCCCCAATGACACAAGAACAGGGATAAGTTCCCTGTTCTATCTTTCACTTTTGTAAAAAAAAAAGCATGGCCATGTAGGGCTCTGTCCATACAGCCGCATCACTCATTCAGTTTTCTGCCTTAGCAGCTGTCAGCTTGCAGTTCTCAATGAACTATTATGGCATTGTAGAGCGCCGTGGTAGTTCATTGAATCTTCCTGTCAGTATAACTGCTTGCACGTACATCCCATACAGGTAAGCAGAACACTGAGAGGTCTGCAGGAAACTTGTATTACCTGCAAAAAAATGTGCATTTACTTTTTTTGGTCAAAAGGTGAACTGATCCTTTAAATCAAGGGTGCTCAACCCTTCGAAGAGTGAGGGCCACTTAAGTGACTTGGTAACCAGTCACGGGCCACAATGAAATGGTATGGTTCAGAATTTACTTTTTTTTTTTTTTTTTTTGAATAGCATAATGAACCTTTTCCTCCTGCAGCCACTGAATGCCGACAGGAGCAAGAAGAGGAGAAGCCAGCTTTCAACGATTGCAGTAGGCAAATAGAGAGGATCAGCTCCTGCATATGCCACCCCCCCCCCTGTATCCCCTCCTGTCCAAGTGTAAAACAGAATGTGACAGGGAGGCTGCACAGGCCCCTTGGAACATGCAGTGGGATTTCCAATGCGACCCCTGATGTAATTCCAGCGGCTGGGGGTGTGTGGTAAAAACACATATCAACTATGGGGTTTTACTACCCTCCAAACTGCTAATGTAAACAAGCCCTTACTGTCCTGAGCTTCCTATAAGACTGCTTTCACACTGATGCGCTGCGGCTTACCCGCGCCATGGGTGCAATGCAGTGCACCTGCAGCTTTCCTGCGGGTTAGCTGCGCTTTGCCATTATATCGTTTGAGTGTGGCGCACTTTCTGAAAGTGCACCAAACCTGCAGGGGATAATAGAAGTGTTCTTCGCTGGTTTGAGGTCGAGGGCCACATGTGACCCATGGGCCAGAGGTCGAGCACCCCTGTTTTAAATAGACACTGTCCAGGATATGAAAAATCTGAAAAGTATTTAAAATGATGCTTTAATGGTATTAAAGGTACGTGTACATGTTTGGATTTTATACTTTTTACATTTAATACCATTAAAGTATCATTTTAAATACTACACTATGGGAATACCCCTTTTCTTTGCTCCGCACCGAGCATTTTAACTTCCCAGCAAACCCCGGTGAACATCCCAGAGCCTGGACAAGTTTGATCCATTTACCCTGGCTTGCCAATATCCTTATACCTAAGGAAGGCCATCCACTCCCAGGCTGCATTCCGGACCACCCTAAGAAGGGATCCCTTACTGTTTCAACAGTATATGATACAACACACTATATTTATGCGCTTCTGGTGAGTGCGCATTTCATATATTAGCACACCCACCTGAGGATCCATACACTGGGATTTTACATAATCACCTGGAGATTATCCTGACAATTATCTGGAAGATTTTACTAACATTTTATGTTTATAAACGTATCAGAGGTGCCTGTGCATTTTTACGTAAGGGACTATATTTCCATGTGCTTTTAGGCATCTATCAAAAGGGTGCTGAAGTTTTGCTGGTCAGAAAGGCCCAGCATTTCGGAGAAGCAGGTAGGACTGAAAGCTGCTGTAGGTTACAGTATATGTGGGCTCCTGTGGCACTTCACACCTGTCAGGAGCGTTTTTACCTTTACAGTGGCAGGGTCTGCTTAATGAGGAAATCAAGACCTGGAAATAATGGGTCAACAACTTTGGAAAATGGATAGCAAGCCCGCATAAGTGGCTTCCCAGTGGGCTGTACACTCCCTGTGTCACACCCCTCCACTCCTCTTTCTCCCCTTTCTTCTCTTCTTAATTTTCTAACAAAAGTTCCCATTACTGGACAGATGCCATATCTGTCACCCAGGTCAATCAACAGTGTCTGCCTCATGGCTGCTATCTCTTTCACTGTTTTGCCATATTGACTAATGGTCAACCATGCCACTTTGCTGTTTGTACAATTTTTATTATGATCCCTTCTTTGTTTATATATTGGTTATTCAGCTTTTTGGCATCGATTTGTAAACCGTATTTGTATCTCTCTTTAAAACAAAACAGAATAAAACATGCTGAAACGAAAATTGATGGCAAGCAAACAGGTTAAAAGATGAGCCATATTTTCATTGCTGGCTTTCCTCACAACCTTCCAACCAAGCTGTTTAAAAGATAACCACAATCCGGAAAAAGAGCATTTTCACATCACAATATTTTTAAAAATTTGGTAAAAACAGGATAATCATACATAAATATGCATAGCATTTTAACAATGTTATACATAATAAATGTTCTTTTTTATATAAAAAACAATGCTTGTCCATAAGTGAAAACTAATACATCACACACCTCATGACTTGAGAATGGATCTTCTAAATTAGCAAGATCATGACCCTTCATGTGACTCTTCAGGCAATACTGAGTGCTGAAAGTTTTTTCACATCCATCACTGGTATGAAACGGTCTGTCCCCTGTCACAACATATACAAATACTGCAATCATTATTTTTGTTCCCTACAGTATTCCTGTAAAAGAATCAGGTGTAGAACAGACTTACCAGTGTGCTTCCTAGCATGTGTTTTGAGGTGATGGCTGGCAGCAAACGCTTTCCCACAACCATCGTGATCACACCTGAAAAAAAGAATGACAGAACTTCTTATACAACGACTGTACCACCGCAATATCAACAGACACGTACAACTCAACCTATATCAGGGATACTTCACTTAATAGCTCCGAAGATTTTTTGTAACACAGTCCAGTGGGAGTGATAGGCATCCTTCCAAACAGAGTGAATGCGATAAAATAGCACAACATAAATTAAACACCAGACCCTAGAGATGTAAGAAGTACTCTAGACCACTATTTCTCGACTTGAAGGAACCCCTGAAAAATTTCATGTCACTGCAAAAATGAAACAGTAGGCAGAATTCGGCAGGCAATTCCGTCATTGAATGTGACCTGTTTGGGGTAGTGCCATAACCTCCCTGCAACCACATAAAATGCACACGGTTTCAGCGCAATGGTGCTAAATCTACAGGGTTAAAACAGTAGGCATGGAGATGACTTATTGGCGCCTCACTACCTGTCAAATGTCTTTGAAAAGTGATCCACCATGAAACACTTCTCAGAGGGGCAGCAATGACTGCCGCACATATTAACAAGCACTAAAAGTCATCAACTCTGCTTATTCTGCTATTCTGTTCACTGTCAGCAACATGTGCATTGTAGGAGATTTTGACTGCTTCAACGTGCCCCCTCCCAGAATGCTGACTAGGAAATTACAGGAGACTGATATCAATAGGAATTTCAGGTATTGACACCAGCTGTTAAAAACACGGTTAATGATTTTGAACAAATGTGTGTTTTATTATTCTTAGGTGTTCAGCTGCAAATCCTGCCATGAGAAAAATACAGGGATTCCCATTGTTGATCTCTGGAAAATGCAAGCTGCCTGCCAACCTCTTGCTTCAATCTTTTCCAAGTCTCTGTACCAGAACGATCATGCAGTAAGTGTATTCTTGATTTACATCGTTGTTACAGGTCAATGACTCCGAAATCATTGAAGCCTGAGGGCAGCATGATAGCCGAGGAACTTGCACTTTTATAAAATCGTCAATGTTGCCATGAAAATTCTTTCTTGGCAGTTTTTCTTCAATATTGGTTGGTGTAAAAAGCCTGTCGTGTTTTAATTAGTAAACTCACCTGAAAGGTTTCTCTCTGGTGTGAGTCCGAATGTGTTTCCGTAAGTCGCTGTGCGTAGTGAAGTATTTGCTGCAGCCCTCTGTCACACAATTAAATGTTTCACCAGTATGAAGTCTTTTATGGGCTCTCAACCTGCAGAAAAAAATAAGTTTTTAAAAGGCTCCACTTTATACCCTTCCTATGAAAAAATACTAGTTTCTATGGGCAATACAAATACCCTACAAATACTTGTACATAAACTCCAGTTAAAGTGCATTTAAACTAAGAAACGATTTTATGACCCGTGCTTAGGTATAAATTATGTGTCTGTGTACACCAAACTAAAGAAAAGATATCTTAATAGATAACTCAAGTGAACATCAAATCATAAACATCAAAACATTATTTGTAAAACATTAAATAATAAAAAAAAAACTAAATATCAAAAATAATCAATCAAATCAATCAAAGGAGGCTGCTGCTACTACAAAGGGTCCTGACCCTCATAAAGTTGAAAAATAATAGTAGTTAAGCATTGCCTAGACATAATTACACCAACATATATATAGCATTTCACACAATGATTCTTCACAAAGTCCATGCACTGTGAATAACCGTGCAATCTATAACCATATCTGTGCTGTGATCTTCTTAAAAGTGCTGGAAAAACACACACTGTGCTCCCCACCGTTGGTACCCCTCACTCACCGACTTGTGTGGACTCTTAAAGTTGATTGCACTTAGTGGGACCCCCCGCCAACATCACTGAGCAGGGTTATTCACAGTGCTTTGTGAAGAATCACTGTATGAAATGCTATGCATATGTTAGTGTAATTATGTCTAGGCAGCACTTAACTACTATTATTTTTCAACTTAAAGTGTATTTAAAGCCAAAACATTTCTTTTAGTTTTATAAAGAGCAGAGAATTCCCTCAAATCATCTTTTGCTGCCTGTATCCGGCTAGCAAAGAAAGTTTCTATTACGTTCCTGTCATGGAGATGCAACATGAAATCTCAACTTTCAGAGTTCCCAACTTACAGAGGTGTCACTGAAACAGGTGTCCCAACTATTATTATACAGGATTTATATAGCGCCAACAGTGTGTGCAGCGCTTTACAAAATGAAGGTTAGAGATGAGCGAAGTATTCAAAAATTCGATTCGGCTGATTCGACGAATTCGGAATAAATTCGATTCGAGGCGAATATATTCACTGCGAATTTAACTTATAAAAAGGTGTGTTTCTAGGCTTCAGAGAGCCTTTATATTAGTGCAGAACACTGTACCTTTAATTTAAATGCCCTTGGAGTCTGCTGGGGAAGAGAAATAATACTGTCAGTCAGTATGACATGCAGATGAGTGCCGTCGATCTTAGAATCACCGCACACTTCACTCATTTGGGCAGTCACGGGGCCAAAACCAGAGTGTGGAGCCACAGTGTGGCGGTGGAGGCAGCAGCAATGGGAGGCCATACAGCACCCTATGACAAAATGGAACCCACCAGCAGTGTGAGGAGACCTGAAAGTGGCACATGGCAGAGTGTGGCGATGGAGACAGCAGCAATGGGAGGCCGTACAGGGACCCATGAGACACTCTGGACCTGGCAGCAGCATGAGGAGGCGGTACAGGGGCCCATGACAGATTACGGGCCTGGCAGCAGCATGAGGAGTCGGTACGGGGGCCCATGGCAGATTACGGGCCTGGCAGCAGCAATGGGAGGCCCGTAATCTGCCAGCACCCTATGACAAAATGGAACCCACCAGCAGTGTGAGGAGACCTGAAAGTGGCACATGGCAGAGTGTGGCGATGGAGACAGCAGCAATGGGAGGCCGTACAGGGACCCATGAGACACTCTGGACCTGGCAGCAGCATGAGGAGGCGGTACAGGGGCCCATGACAGATTACGGGCCTGGCAGCAGCATGAGGAGTCGGTACGGGGGCCCATGGCAGATTACGGGCCTGGCAGCAGCAATGGGAGGCCCGTAATCTGCCAGCACCCTATGACAAAATGGAACCCACCAGCAGTGTGAGGAGACCTGAAAGTGGCACATGGCAGAGTGTGGCGATGGAGACAGCAGCAATGCGAGGCCGTACAGGGACCCATGAGACACTCTGAACCTGGCAGCAGCATGAGGAGGCGGTACAGGGGCCCATGACAGATTACGGGCCTGGCAGCAGCATGAGGAGTCGGTACGGGGGCCCATGGCAGATTACGGGCCTGGCAGCAGCAATGGGAGGCCCGTAAATCTGCCAGCACCCTATGACAAAATGGAACCCACCAGCAGTGTGAGGAGACCTGAAAGTGGCACATGGCAGAGTGTGGCGATGGAGACAGAAGCAATGGCGAGGCCGTACAGGGACCCATGAGACACTCTGGAACCTGGCAGCAGCATGAGGAGGCGGTACAGGGGCCCATGACAGATTACGGGCCTGGCAGCAGCATGAGGAGTCGGTACGGGGGCCCATGGCAGATTATGGGGTGACGGATGGAGACCCACACAGCAGTGCAGTGGTCATTGGCAGAGTGTGGCGATGGCGTACAGGGACCAATGAGGAGCAATAACAGGGGGACCTTGGCAGCCAGCATGAGGAGGGCGGGTTACAGGGGGCCATGACAGATTACGGGCCTGGCTATCATCTATGAGGAAAGTCCGGTTTACGGGGGCCCATGGCAGATTACGGGCCTGCAGCAGCAATGGTGAGGCCCACTAATCTGGCCCCCCCCACAAAAAATGCACCTATGACCAAAAAATGGAACCACCAGCAGTGTGAGGAGACTCTGAAAGTTGGCACATGGCAGGTAGTGTGGCGATGGAAGTACAGCAGCATTGCGAGGCCGTTACAGGGACCAACACTCTGGACCTGCAGCAAGCATGAGGAGGCGGAGGGCTACATGGGGCCCATGTACAGGCTGACAGCAGCCATGACGGTACACTGGCAGATTAGGGGGCTGGACAGCCAATGGGAGGCAGCACCTGCCAGCACCCTGACAAAATGGAACCACCAGCATGCGTGGGTAAGTGGCACATGGCAGGTGTGGCGTTGGAAGACAGCGCATACTGGGCCCGTACAGGGGACCCATGAAACACTCTGGACCTGCGCAGCATGAGGAGGCGGTTTTGGGCTTGGCCGAGCAGCATTACGTGAGGGCCCGATGGCAGATTAGGGGTGACTGGCTGCAAGCAATGGGGAGGCCCCGTATGTAATCTGCCAGCACCCTATGGTACAAAATGGATACCCACCAGCAGTGTGTGTGAGGAGACCTGATGAACAGTGGCACATGGCAGAGTGTGGGCGATGGAAGACAGCAGCCAATGGGAGGCCGTACAGGGACCCATGAGGACCACTATGGAACCTGGCTACGCAGCATGAGGAGGCGGTACAGGGGCCCATGACAGATTGATCTACGGCCTGGGCAGCAGCATGAGGAAGTCGGGTACGGGGGCCCATGGCAGATTACGGGCCCCATGGCAGCAGCAGCATTGGAGGAGGGCCCGTCATCTGCCAGCAACCCTATGAACAATATGGAACTCCACCAGCAGTGTGAGGAGACCTGAATAGTGGCATCATGTGCAGAGACCCATGTGGCGATGGAGGACAAGCAGCAATGGTTGAGGCCCGTTACAGGGACCCATTGAGACATCTCTGGACCTGGCAGCAGCATAAGAGGAGGAGGGTACAGGGGGCCCATGGCAGGAGTGGCGATGCGTAAGCAGCTTAAATTGGAAGGCCTTTACAGGAGGACCGCGACTATGTTTAAAAAAAAATAATAACATGTTTGGGGCATGAATTCATTGGCGGATTTAGTCAGTTGTTGTGTATGGTCAGGGAAAACTGGTTTTTGGTTTGAATTCCCAGGGACTAATCCACGCTCTGATTCATTTTCACAAACGATGAGGTCTCTCCACACTTTGGGTGGGACAGTCGTTGTACTCCGCCGGTGTTACAATACCTCCTGCCGCACTATACATGCCGCTCCGATGCACGCTACTGGCCGGGTGCTTGAAGGCAGCCTTTCAAGGGGCACAATTCAGCTAGGTAGGGGCCAAAGGTCAAGGTGGTTTTTTTTTAGTTGCCCAGTAGTCAAAGGGGATTGATCTACCTCGGTTGGCAGAGGTGCTGTCCATGGTAGGCCCAAGCCTGATTGTTTGAGGGTCCTGCTTTCCAGGTCACCTGATGCTGCTGCGGGCTGGATTAGTAGTTTCCTCACTGCGCTGGTGATGATTGCTACTCATTCATCGATGCAGTCTGAGGGCAGCAGTGCTGGTGGAGGCAGCTGCCACTGCTCCTACCACCCCACCCTACCCTGCTGCCATGGCAGGCGGATACGCGATGCGCACAAGGGCCCACAGTGTGTCTGAGGATGGACCGTTGGCGCAGATAAGGCTCAGAGACCCATCGGACTACGTTAGGTTGGTTTTTTATTAGTACTTTATATTGGCATCCCTCTGCTCAGCAGGTGTGAAAAAGGCCACCCAATTTTGGAAACGGGGTATTAGCGAGGGTCCAACAAGCGTGGACAGGCCAAAAGTCATACCTCTGTTGATGGTTATTATTTCGGCTGTCGCTACGCAAGCAAGAACGAGCCATGCTATGGGGCCATATGTGCCATGGAATGCGATGGGACTCCCTGCCTCCATCTCCAACAGCCTACTGCCACGGTGCGTCTGGGTCCTCTGTCTCTCTCCTCCTCCTCTACCAGATTGCTCCTCTTGCTTCCTCCATCCTGTTCCGGCTGAGTGGAAAAAAAACCAACCATTTTCACTTCAATAATTCCTTGAGCTCCAAATGGGGGGGGGGGGGGGGGGGGGGCTACCTCTCCTCTTCTTCCTGTCCTGCCCCCACAGGGGGTCATGTGGCGTTGAGGATCTGTGCGACACGTCTACCGCACCCCTGACCATCCATTGTTAAAGCATTTGTTTTCCAAGGTCGTGCACAGAGGAATGGACGTCGTTCATCCCATAGTACTGCCTGACTCACGAATAGCGTGGCCTCATCAAAGGGCCTCTGAGCAAGCGGCAGGTATGTCACGCAATGAGCTGCCAATGGCTGAACATCTATGTTATTACAGGGGGGGGGATAGTACCTTTATTCCGCTTGTAAACATCAGGATATCGAGTGATGGCCTTTTCGCTGGTTCGTATAAGGCTGGTC